GGCCATCCTCCACAAAAGGGGGTGATTTCTCACTTAACTTCTTTCTCCCTCTTTCTCTCTTCCTTTCTCTCTCTCTTTCTGGCATGCACACATGCCTTAAAGCAAAACCTAAAAAAAAAAGTTTATACCAATTGAAACGACAACAATGTCAACCCTATTTTGAAATTCATTATGGATGTCAGTCACTAGGCTAATATTACCATTTGTAATTAGCATTTAGTTCATTATTTGTTTTAAAGAGGAAGACAGGTCAAATGAAATACTTGCCCTTTTACTGCAATGAATTTTCCGCGGTCACAGCCAACAGCTACTTGGAACACCTAAAATAAAGTAGTTTAACGTAAGTTCAGTGGCTCTGATTCACATGACCTATAATGTTACCATAGCTAAACACAGTTATATTTTCGGCTTGAAGTAATAAACTTTTAAATATAGGCTTCTGTTATACTGCTCTGTGTTGTTTTCCTCCTTTGATTGCTTTTTGTTTCCTTCTTCCTTTTGTCTCTACACTTATGAGGCCTGAATACTGATTCTCAGGGAATCTATCTGATCTCACCTTTCACATGCACCTCTGCTACCTCGACTATCAACCTCACACTTCCAGCTCACACATCTGGCTCAGCTGGCAGGTTTCTGTCATTTACCTAGCTATTTCATTTGACTTTTCTTTCTCTTTCATAAGTCAATTTATCAGGTATTAAGTAGCATCAAGTAAAACAGCATCTTGTAGGGCTGGCCCCATAGTACAGCAGAGAAATGCTGTGCATAGAGAGCCAGAGCTCTTTCTTCTCTCAGGTCAACACCTGGTTCAAATCTTGGCCCTAGTGGATTGAAAAATACTATGGGTACATATGCCTGTGTGCCCTAAATCCTTACAGCATGGAGAAATGCAAGAAAAGGGACTGTAGCATGACTGCATTCCACTGGAGGGTGCTTTCTCCCTTTCCCTCTCTGGTGAGGGCAAATGTCCTATGGCAATAAAAAAATAAAAAGAAAATAAGATAGAATTTTTTTTCTTATTATTCTTGCTTTAAGCAGCACTATTCTGTATTCAGAGAAGCACTGGCAAAAGGCCAACAGTTAAATCTCTGGCCTAACAATATAGATATTTTAAACCTTACTTAGAACTGCTGTGTGAAAGAAATACATATCTGTGTTTTGTTTAAAAATGAACTACCTGGAATACTATAGCATAATGTGTAAGGGGTTAGAAATTAGCCTACAGTGTCTGACACAGGACTGTGAGAGGCTTCACTGACACGGCTGTGCCTCTGCAAGTAACATTGGGACACAGAAGAGAAGGGCAAGTGCAAAGTCAACGACATCACATGGATGTGCTATGCTTCGGTGCCTTATTTCATAGGCTGCACGTGCCCATGAAAGGCATTTGATGTGGAAAAGGCTATCGTTAAAGCAACCAATGGCACCAGCAGATGACATAATGGTTACGTTGCTGGACTCCCATGTAGTTGACCCAGACTGGAGTCCCAGATCTGGTGGCTTAAAACTCGTGCCAGGCAGTACATGTAAGAGTGTCCCCAAAATCCTGAGAGGAGAATGAAGGAGAAGGAATTTCAGCATGGCCATTTCCCCTGAGGGGATGATTTCTCTCTTTCTCTGTCTTTCTGGTGAGCACACATGCTATACAGCAAAAATCTCTCTCTTCCAACAAACAAACAAAAGCTCATCCTATGGCTCCTCTGCTTTGGACTGTCATCTCCACTCACCCTGCCCTTCTTCACTCCACACCAGTGCTCCCCTTCCGCCATTTCCCACCCTCCCAGCATACTCCCACTGCAGGTCCCTGCATACGTGTGTCCCTCTTCCTGAAATGCCCTTCCCAAAAGAGCTGCCTGTCTCACTCCTGCCTTCTTTCCAGTTTTTACTTACATGCACCTTCTCAGCAAGGCCTTTTCTGAGCATTCTGCACATAAAATAATAACTCTTGTCTTGGCACATTTCCCTATGGCACATAAAGCTATCTGACGCAATTTTATTTACTTGCTCATATAATTATTTTCTGCCTCCTTATCTAGAATGTAATTTACACTAAGACAAGGACTTTATTTTATCCTGCATCCCTGCCTGTGTGTGGCTGGTGCTGCTTAAGTAGCTGATGAAGAGCTGTGTATTTACTTGTAGAGAAACTCCTGACTGGGCTAAACGTGAGCATACAGCCAAATTCATGAGCATCATACTCGAGAGTGGATGACGGTGTATGCAGTACACATTTTGACTACGTTTAGCTTTTACTTTATGTACTCACTTAACAGCTTAACACTCCCAGAGTAGGATTTGATCCCACCATAGAAAATATTATCCACATGGCCTCTTTCATAAAATAAAAGACAACAAGCTGGTGACCCAAAGGTCTTCAGCACCTCTGACCACAGAAAGTGAGTGCTGCATCAATGGTCCCAAATATTGAATCCACTAGGAAGTATACTGGGCTCATGGTCTCCATTTTGATAATTCAACCTAGATAATGTGAGGTTTTCTTGCTTACAACGAAAAATCCCAGTTAACCTAAGCTATGTACAGAGAAACAAACCCCATCAATCTGACTCCAACTCTGAGGAGTAATATAAGACTTTCATTTTTTTTTTTTTTTTTGCATGGTTATGGAGAAGGGGCAATTACACTGTCAAAAAAAACACTGAGGTTTCCTAACACACTTCGTAGACAGTGATTCTTCTATTTCCCTTCCTCTTCCCCCCCCCCTTTTTTAGAGTCTATTTATTTGTTGAGTTGAAAGTTAATAATTATAATGAAATATCTTACAGTATTGTCTATGACTCTCCCATGATAAAGTAAAAACAAAGGCAAGTGGGTAAATCCCCACTGTTACGTGAACTGTCCAGAACGTGTGGTTTAGAGCTGGTGGCTCTGGAACACTAAACCATGGCTGCAGGGCTGAAAACACAAGCTTTTCCCCATCCCACCACTTGACCACCAACATGACGCTCAAGCGAATCATAAGTGCCAAACACTCATTTGTTTACCTTTCATTTTTTAAAATGAAAAACCCCAGAATCTGTTTATTCTGTTCATCTCCCCAATCTTTTCTTTTCTTTTTTTTTTTTTTGGAGAGATTTTTGCTATAGGGCGTGTGCACTCGCCAGACAGAGAGAGACATAGAGACAGAAAGCGAGAAATCACCCCCCAGGGGGGATGGTCACGCCGCAATCCCTTCTCCTCCATTCTCCTCTTG